CAAAAAATATTATAAGTGCACTTCAAATATGGCCAGTGTATGTAGATAGAAAATCGGTAAACTGAATTCGTGTTTCTCACTAATAGTGAGAAAAATATTGTAGAAGGGCACTAAATTGTAGAATAGTAATTAAAACACAATTGTTATACATCATAATTCCCTACTTGCATGGTCTAAGGAACATGACTCAATGGTCACGTTTCAAACAATGCAGTTGTAAGTCCAACTTTACTGAAGATTGCCTTTAGAAACACAATGTAATATATGCATGTAATTTTTATTTTATGTTTAAATTTTGCAGGTGCACCCACTATTGTACTAGAAACTGTGTAGAATTATTCCAATGCTGCAACTTTTATGATTTTCCCATCATAGTCCAATAAAGATTGGGAAAGTTCAACAAATGAATGGCACCACGGATTCCCAACAAGACCAGCACTGTATGACGTAGTTGGTGGCAAAGAGTAGAGCTGCACCACCGAAACGAAGCAGGGGCGCTTACCAAACACGTTCAAAACAACTATCACATATTCCTTATCATGACAGTAATATTACACAGCATGTTTGAAAGGCAACTGTATGGTACACCTGGTCGTTAAAGGGTTAAGCATAGTGATAGTAGGTTGGCTTTGATTTATTGTAGAGCACTGCTAAATGCTACATGTATATTCCATTAGTGTCATTGCCTGAAAATTTATCAAATTTATAATAAAACCAATGGATAATAACTTAAGTGTCGGACATCATGTATTTTCTTGCTAACTGCATTTGTGGTGCACTTCTCCAAACATACCTAGCCCATGCTCTCTCACAAAGTTTTGATATTAATTTTTTTTTTATTTTTCACACAATGATTTTTCCCCCAACCACTCTTGCACATAGTTCTGCAGCTCACTAATGGGAAGAGACATCCCTATTTTCTCCATCCCCTTGATGCAATTTACCATAGTACACTAAATTTCATCAAGGAGAGTGTCTGCCCCAAAATTTATCTCGGTTATTTACAGATGGAGCACTCTGAATCTCGGTACACTTATTTAAAATAGAAAGAGTGTGAATTTTTGTGTGAATTTAAAAAAAAAATGAAGGAAAATGTGAAATTCTTATAATATGGCCAAAAAAGGGGTAATTTAGAAATGTAACTAGTACTACGATTTTCAAGCTACAACATTGAGACACATATCATTCAATGCATAAAGCCTTTATCTATGAAATGTTTATGGCTTTTGTTAGAAATTCAAATTTTTGTGGAAGTGGGGGCATTTTTCATAAATTTTTAAATTTTCTCCCTGCCATCCTCTCATTTTTTGCAGAATAAAATTCAAACTATAACAAAATTAGGAAAAACGCCATGAAGGCTTTGTAGATATTTTATTTGTGAATCAAATGATATATGTCTCATTGTTGTAGCTTCAAAACTGTAGTAGGAGAAAGGTTTGCAGTGACAATAAGTTAACTTTTCAGTAGGCCCTGACAAAGTCGTGCGTGCCTCGAAAAAGACATTCAAGGGTGCAAGGTTGCAAAGACCAGACGATATTGGAGCTCAATTTCTGTCAAGGATGGTGTGAATGATGGCACAAGAACCATCCCATACAACTGCAGGCAGATAACTGAAGCACAGTGTGTTCAGACTAGCTATTTAAGTGTGTTACCAGTATTTTTGGCCTATCTCAATGTTAAAGAACTCCTGCGCCTACCCCTTTTTGCAATCTGTCGTGAATGCATAAATCAATGTACAGAGATGGTTTTGGTACCATTAGATGCCTCAGAATGTAAGCTTAAAGATAAGATGAGTATGAAAACCAAAAGTCAAAATTTTTGATTTTGGGGCAGATGCTCCCCTTAAAAAGCTGACAAGTTAGAATGGTTATTTTGAGCAAAAGATGTATGTTCCATTTGACCAAAATACTCCAATACAAATGCACCATAATATATTCATTTAAAAGCTATTTTTGAAAAACTATGGGTAAGAGAGGACCATTTGTGGGGAAAGATAGGACCATTTGTGGGGCAAGATAGGACCACTTGTGGGGTAAAGCAGGATCATTTAGTGGTCCTGTCTTACCCCATGTCCGGTCCTTTTTTACCCCATTTTGGAATACCTGTCAGGCAGTGATGGTAGCAGGTGGGAATGCCTAGTATGTCTCAAAAGTTGCTTATTACTTGAGGTTACATGCCTACATCCACAAACTTGGCCAAAAAAAATTTTGTCATTAGACAGAGCTTATTTCCCAAACAGGGTTAACTATTTTGTGACCCTTCTTTACATAAGTTTTCTTTAAAAATTAGCCAGAAATTCATTATTTGCAGAAGAGGGTTGAAACAAGCACTGAAATGACAGGCAATGATTGCTCTAACATATTCTTTTGTCAAATTAAATTTAGTACAATTAGAATGCATGATATGGGCTGGTCCTTTCTTACCCCATGAAGGCTGTGATCCTGTCTTACCCCATTTGACTATACCATCATTTTACCATTAAATACCATCATTAATGCTATTTCTACCTGGTGGTTTGGGACCTAGAAGTCTCGTCAGTCATGAAGAGGTTAAGAGAAGCTGGTTTTCTCAGCTGGTTTTTGAAATTTATTTTTTTATTGATAATTAAATGATAATAAAATATTTAATTAAATAATTAAAATATTTATTTATTATTGATAATTAAATGCAAAGATGTGCCCTTTTCATTTTTTCTACCTAATAAATAAGTGTAGTTTTATTTAGTTTCTTTCTTTTGAAAGAAACTTCTCAGCTGGTTTTTTAAATTTATTTTTTTTTATATAGTTTTATAGAGTTTCTCTCTTTTGAAAGAAATTTCTCAGCTGGTTTTTGAAATTTATTTTTTTTATATAGTTTTATAGAGTTTCTCTCTTTCGAAAGAAATTTCTCCGCTGGTTTTTAAAATTTATTTTTTTATATAGTTTTATATAGTTTCTTTCTTTTGAAAGAAATTTCTCAGCTGGTTTTTGATAATTAAATGCAAAGATGTGCCCTTTTCATTTTTTCTACCTAATAAATAAGTGTAGTTTTATATAGTTTATTTCTTTTGGAAGAAATTTCTCAGCTGGTTTTTGAAATTTATTTTTTTTATATAGTTTTATATATGGTATTATCTTTCTTTTGAAAGAAATTTCTCAGCTGATTTTTGATAATTGCAAGCAATAATGTGCCATGTTTTGTATTTTTTACCTGATGAATAAGTGAAGAATGCTAGAAACTAGTAAAATTATATGCAATTAATACTACTTTTGTCTCATTTCATGGTAACTTCTACCAAATTTTCCCAATTTGGACAGCAATTATCAAAAATTTCCTGTGAAATGACCATTTCCACATGTATTTCTTGGAAAATTTTACTTTATTTTTATTAAGTGCACAAAAAAATGGTTTATGAAGGAAAATTTTGGCATTACTGGATAGAATTTGTTCAAAACCACCAATTTAATATATGTAGGGTCTTTTATAGGGAGCATTAATGATATTTATACTATAGAACTATACATATATATTATCAATGGTATGTATATAATATATATTAGTATTAAATGGCAAAATTTTCTCATTGAAACACATACAAATAATGACCAGAGAATGTATTGTATTCTAATTTGCAGAGAATTAAAACTCTTCAGGTAAAGTTAACTGATCGGCAAGGATTTATAATATATTTATAACATCAACGGTATATATAACATTAATGGTATATGTAAACAATAATGGTATATGTATGACAATAATGGTACTATATATATAACAATAATGGTATGTACGGTATATAACATTAATGGTATATATAGAACATTATTAGTAAATATACAACATTAATGGAACATTAATACAGCAATCCCTTGATTAACGCGGTTAATAAATCCCCAAGTTCTACCGTGTTAAGCAAAACCGCGCTAATCAAACTTAAGAATATATGGGAATAATTATAATGAATCCTCAAAAATAGCAAAAGAAAGGAAAATTATGTAGTTTGATAAAAGTGAGCAGTAGATATGGCAGCAATCTTGACCGGTTGAAGGCCAATGAGTAACTAGCCCTTTACGCACTGAATTATGTTTCGAAAGTGAAAAAACAATCTGAATTACTTTTCAGATCACGCGCAGTCTTCATGTTAAACTGGCAGTAGCGACGCGCCTACTCCATCGAACGTCGTTCGAACGAGTTCACAACATGTGACGCTACCGTCACACTCGCGGCTAGACTCCAAACATGTAATTACTCTCGATAGAAGCTTTTATTTTCTGTGTGACGAATTCGTCACACCAGGGCTTAAAGGGCTAGAGCACCGGCATGGCGCACTTACCGGCGAACGTTGCCGAACTCGACCATTCGAGTTATGAACGAGACGAGGCGCGATTAAACCGACCCTGTAGTCAGCACGAGTGCCTACGGTATGGGACTTTATTTAAAGAATTATTGGCTGAAATTCATAGAGTAACAACATTTGGCGAATTTTTCCAAAAGTCGTAACAAAAGTAACAACATAAGATCTAATAAGCAAAAAGTAACACTTTTGTTACGAACGTAACACCTCTGGCTAGAGGCGGGAAAATGACGCGTTGTGAAAAAAAAGTCGCGCTAATCAAAACTGGCACCGCGTAGATTAAGGGTAGGTCGCAAATTTTTTTTCCGCGTTAATCAAAACCGCGGTATTCAAAACCGTGCTAATCAAGGGATTGCTGTAGTATATATAACATTAATGGTATATTTATAACATCAATGGTATATACAACATTAATGGTACATATACATTTAACATCAATGGTACATATACATATAACATCAATGGTATATATACATATAACATCAATGGTATATATATAGAACATTATTAGTAAATATACAACATTAATGTTATAGTATATTGTATATAACTTGCCTGTGAATGGATTAAGACAGATTCTCTGCTGTGTGACTGTGTGCATGGCTGTGTACATGGCTGCATGTGTCCATGGCTGTATACATGGCTGCATGTGTCCATGGCTGTATACATGGCTGTGTCCATGGCTGTGTCCATGGCTGTGTCCATGGCTGTGTACATGGCTGTGTCCATGGCTGTGGCTGTGTGACTGTGTGTAGTACATACATGGCTCTGCTGTTGCACAGGCACTAATACAGGGATATACATGACATAAATGTACTACTGACCATATTGTACATTTTATAAGTTCATTGCTCTATATATGGTAATGTCTCTATTTGTATCTAAATTCAAATAAAGTATTGTGATTTTATTTAGAAAGTATAGCATCTATTTTGAAGTAATTTTTGCATTAGAATTTGCTTTGTTAACTGCATAATTTGTCATCTTCATAATTTTTTATTAGAATTTTACTATAAATTAAATGTGGAAAACTATTTTATTATGCAGATTTTGATTAAAATGAAAAAAAAAACAGTTTTTTCATTTGAAATTAGCTATAAATTAAATGTTTGAAAATTGTTCATTTTGTGAGATTTTGACTAGAACAAAAAAAATTTAGTTGCTTACTATTTAAAGTTTATTTATATTGAAAAATGTTTTGTTTACTATATTTGAATAATTCGTTTAATAATTAATAGTATTTTTTTTAATTTAACAAGTTCAGGTTCATATTTTGAATTTAACAAGAATAAAAAAAATTTGATTATCTACTATTTAAAGTTTATTTTTATTAAAAAATGTATTGTCTATTATATTTAAATTATTTGTTTAATAGTAAATAGTATTATTTAAAATAACCAATGACAATAAATACACTATTACTATTTAAAGTTTATTTTCATTAAAAAATGTACCGTATTGTCTATTATATTTAAATTATTTGTTCAATAGCAAATAGTATGTTTTTTAATTTAACATGAATAAAAAAAATTTTATTCTCTACTATTTAAAGTTATTTTTATTTAAAAATGTATTGTCTATTTACTCTATTATATTCAAATTATTTGTTTAATAGTAAATAGTATTATTTAAAATAAATGACAATAAATAAAGCTGTTGCCCCCGGCAGGATGGGGGGAGCCGTCGCCAGTCGCCCCACGCAGCTGCTGTGGCGACCACTACAGTGAGTCGACATACGCATGCATATCTTATATATTTATTATAATAATTATATATTTATTAATATTATATTGGTATTTTATATAATATTTTATTTTTACAACTTCTCTTTAACTTCACTTCATGTTTGTCTGTCTGTCTGCTACAAATCTTGTAATTGAAATTTAATACACTTCTACTTATCCTATCAATCTGAAATTTTGCATACTTGTTTAAAGTTGGAGACAATGCATGAATCAAATGATGAAATAAATGATTTAAAAAATATTTTTTTTTTTCAAAATTAAAAAAATTGAAAAAAATGATTTTGTTTGCTACAAATCTTATAATCTAAATTTAACACACTTTTACCTGTCCAATTGATATGAAATTGTGCACACTTGCATAAACTTGGAGACAATGCATGAATCAATTGACAGAATAAATAATTTTGAGAAAAAATTTATATATTGAAAAATTTAAAAATGAATTTTTTTAATATTCCAAAATAAAATGAGAAATTCATTGTACATATTTAACATTGGAGACACTAGATTCTTCAGAAGTGTTGTCTTTAAAAAGTAATTTTTAAATGTATATTATTTTATTTTTATTTTAATATAATAATTTATTTTTCTATTTATTATATTAATAATATGTATTTTAATATTTAAAATTTAATATGCACACTGACATGTGCATGCATTTGTTATATATTAATTATATCAATAATATACTTATTGATGTAATTATATATTTTTTCTATAATATTCTATTTTTTATATTTATTATATTAGTAATATCTGACATAGTACCCCCCTGCCCTCTGATATTATTAATTGAAATACCAACATTAATTAGTAATATTATTAATTGAAGTACAAATTATTATTTCTCCATAGCAACAATTTCTTCAATGCTTGCACAGCAGAAAATTTTGAAAACTGTTCAAAATTTATAAACGAAAACTGTTTTTGTTTTCAAAAACTGCATGTAATTTCTTGACGCTTACTTTACCTAAATTACTCAATTAGTTAATTAATTAATCTAAATTCATTAATTACGTGATCTGAATGAATTATGGTACCGTAAAATGGGGTTACTTTGACCGGCGGGGTAACTTAGACCACTTTTCATTTTTTTTAACAAAAACCCCCAAAACTCAAAAACGATTCGACATAGAAAAATTTTGTCAATGGCCATCAAAGGCCTAATACTGAGGCTATCTAACACAATAGAAAGATTTAAAAAGTTTGCATATCTAATAGGTTAAAAAATTAATAATGTGACCCATGAAAAAGAGCTATTATTTAAAGCCTGTCAGAGAAGACTATGAGAGGCAGGAGCCAGCAATTTATGGTGAGTGAAGCTAGAGTATAGACCTGTATTTTGCATGTTTCAATTCAAGTTTAATTTAGCTAGTAAAAAAATGGCATCATATATAAAAAAGTGGTCTAAGTTATCCCATTTTACGGTACAGTACTACTTAATCTAAAACTTAATCTAAACTACTTGATCTAAATTTTTCAATTACTTAACCCCAATCTCACCTACAGGTTACGTGTTGCACAGGTTACAGGTTACACTGGGACACCGCCCCCCACGGGGGCACTGCCCCCCACCGGGGTATCGCCCCCCACGGGGGCACTGCCCATCACTGAGGAATACTTCAGCAAGAACCAGCGTCTGGGCCGCCCCCTCAGCCCCCACCTGTCCATCTACAAGCCCCAGCTGACCTCCGTGCTGAGCATCTCACACCGGGCCACCGGCGTCCTCCTGTCCTCCCTTTTGTCTGGCTTTGGCATCGGTGTGTCCATCAGACTTATGGAGGCTGGCCATAAGCCCTATGTCCTTCAGCTCTAGGGAGGCTGGCCTTAAGCCCTATGTCCTTCAGCTTTAGGGAGGCTGTCCTCCAGCCCTAGGGAGGCTGTCCTCCAGCCCCAGGGAGGCTGTCCTCCAGCCCTAGGGAGGCTGTCCTCCAGCCCAGGGAGGCTGTCCTCCAGCCCTAGGGAGGCTGTCCTCCAGTCCTAGGGAGGCTGTCCTCCAGTCCTAGGGAGGCTGTCCTCCAGCCCTGAGGAGGCTGTCATCCAGTCCTAGGGAGGGTGTCCTCCAGCCCTAGGGAGGCTGTCCGCCCGCCCTAGGGAGGTGGCTCTCCAGCCCTAAGGAGGCTGTCCTCCAGCCCTAGGGAGACTGTCCTCCAGCCCTAGGAAGGCTGTCCTCCAGCCCTAGGGAGGCTGTCCTCCAGCCCTAAGGAGGCTGTTCACCAGTTCTAGGGAGGCTGTCCTCCAGCCCTAGGGAGGCTGTCCTCCAGCCCTAGGGAGGCTGTTCACCAGCCCTAGGGAGGCTGTTCACCAGTCCTAGGGAGGCTGTCCTCCAGCCCTAGGGAGGCTGTTCACCAGCCCTAGGGAGGCTGTCCTCCAGCCCTAAGGAGGCTGTCCTCCAGCCCTAGGGAGGCTGTTCACTAGCCCTAGGGAGGCTGTCCTCCAGCCCTAGGGAGGCTGTTCACCAGCCCTAGGGAGGCTGTTCACCAGCCCTAGGGAGGCTGTTCACCAGCCCTAGGGAGGCTGTCCTTCAGCCCTAGGGAGGCTGTTCACCAGCCCTAGGGAGGCTGTCCTTCAGCCCTAGGGAGGCTGTCGTTATTATTATCATTGTTATTATCATTATTATTGTTATTATTATTTCTATTTTTATTATCATTATTACTTTTATTATTATTGTAGTATTATTATCGTTATTATTATTATAATAAATATAAATAAGCATGCGGGTGCCCAGGCATGCTGGTGCTGCCCGCCTCCTACCCCTACTACGTGGCGCTGCTCTCCCAGGCGCACTACGGCGCCGCCGTCGTCTTCACCGTCAAGTTCTGCATGGCCTTCCCCTTCCTGTTCCATGCCTTCAACGGCGTCCGCCATCTTGTGAGTACCTGCCTTCCCCTTCCTGTTCCACGCCTTCAACGGCGCGCAGAACCGTTCACATCTGCAAGTTTCGAACCCGCAACACACTGCTGCAATATAGGGATTTTAACCCACTCGGCCGCTGGAATGGAGTACCTATGTAACGATGGCTTGCCAGCCCCGTATCCTGTTGTTGAATGTATCAATATTGTACTCATTTAATCTATATATTATATTCATTTAATGTATCTATCTAAATCATTTTTATGTAATGTAGCGTGAACTGTGCCGAATTCCAACGATATTAACACGAACTTTATGGTGGAAAAATGAGAATCTATACTTAATGTATAAGTAACACATTTATATATTTGATTTATCGCCGTAAGTAATAACCTCATAATACTTAAGTTATACCTTGAAATGTGCTGAGTTTTAATGAGCCTAACGTGTTCAGGCGTGGGACTTGGGCTACGGGTTCACGCTGCGCACGCTCTACAAGTCAGGCTACGGAGTGACGGCACTCGCCCTCCTCTCCGCGCTGGCCGTCGCCAGCTACTGAGGCTCAACCGCCAGCGACCGCCTTATATATACTCGGGGAAATGGGTGGAACTTCCGTATATTGATGCACTTTTTTCGCCTAAGTGTAGTTCATCCTGACCAAGTTAATCACGGCAAATGAGCGTAAAGGTGCTACGCGAAATAGTACGTCTCTAATATGGATAATATGACCCATTCATTTTATGAGTGTATGCGCTCCTGGGAAGGTACCTGCACTGAAACGTTCTCTACATTGTCGGAACAATGGTTAGCCTTTGTTTATGTTATGGCAGATGCCGACTAGGCTTTTGTTTATGTTATGGCAGTTGCCAACTAGGCTTTTGTTTATGTTATGGCAGGTGACAACTAGGATTTTGTTTATGTTATGGCAGTAACGAGACTTGTAGGGTGCCAAATAGGCTTTTGTTTATGTTATGAGAGATGCAACTAGGCTTTTGTTTGTTATGACAGTAGCGCCACCTGTAGGGTGCCAACTAGGCTTTTGCTTATGTTTGGAAGTTGCCAACTAGGCTTTTATTATGTTATGGCAGTAGCGAGACTTGTAGGTGCCAACTAGGCTTTTGTTTGTTATGGCAGTAACGAGACTTGTAGGGTGCCAGCTAGGCTTTTATGTTGTGGTAGGTGCCAACTAGGCTTTCGTTTATGTAATGACAGTAGGGTGACATTTAGGATGCTAACTAGGCTTTTGTTTTATGTTATGGCAGATGCCAACTAGGCTTTTATGTTATGGTAGGTGCCAACTAGGCTTTTGTTTATGTAATGACATTTAGGGTGCCAACTAGGCTTTTGTTTATGTAATGACATTTAGGGTGCCAACTAGGCTTTTATTTCGTAATTCGACACGGCCGATAGTTCCAACAATGTGCAGACGGCGACAGTGAGAGTACAGGTCCTGTACCCCGCTTGTATTGTACAGTACATTTGAGTTGTTATAACTGAATATTAGGCAGTTATTTTTAAATAAATATTACCAAATGATATTGTTTTATTCCTTCTCAACTGTGAATGTTATGTAGTTCTCTATAACATTACTTAAGGTCTATAACATTTGTTATCGAAAATGATTATAAAAGGGCTTGAAAATTTTAGAGATTTTTTGCCTGATCTCAAATATATCAGCAATGAATTAAGCGTATAAACGCTTGTTAGTATTGATCATTAATCAAAATTTATTCTAGCTAATAAATGAATAATATTTCTGTCATCTCTTCAAAGGTAAATGACTTGACAATTAATGAAAACGTTCCGAATAATGATGCTCGGAAGACTGTGGATACAGTGACTGTGTTACATTATTTAGACTTAATTTAAATTGTGATACACCTTAAATATCAGGGTCTTGCTTTCATTATTTAATAAGTTCAATAATTGAATCATGACACTGAAGTAAATTAGGTTGTTTGCTCAAATAATAATAATTAATCAGCCTTTATTAGGCCGTAGGTCTGTCTCCTATTCTTATCATCGCAGAATGTTCACAGCTTGTTGTGGTCTCGAACTCGCAACTCAGTGTTCTGGTACTCTGAACTGTAACCACTGGGCCACCTTGCCCTGATATATCTCATATTAAATCATCATAACTAATTAGAAGTTAACGTAGTAAAATCACATTTCTGTTTAGACAACAAATTAAGAAGTAATGTGAATTTTGCATTATATCTCATATCAAATTATAATAACTAATTAGAATGTAACATAGTAAGATGACTTTAACTGCTTAGACATTAACTTATTAAGTAATGTGAATTTTGCATTATTGAGCTGGACTTCCAAAATGGTTTTTCTTCATAAATATTAAACAGTTTTCCTTCCAAAGTGAACTCGCAAGAAACTAATCATCATTGAAAATGATATACCGTTTGAATTTATCACATTATCAACATACGTGGGTTGTGTCTATATTGAGTCTGAATTTAATTCGATGATAAACCTAACTTTGATGAAATGCTAGAAACATTATTCACTTGTAAAGCTAAAGCAAATATGATATACTAGCCGATACCAAAAATCATTTACACGCTCAATATAAGTAATATAATTAATTTTTAATTATAATTTCAAAATTTAATTTCAATTTTTAATTTGAAATTTTTTTTTTCAAATTAAAAATTGAAATTAAATTTTGAAATTATAATTAAAAATTAATTATATTACTTATATTGAGCGTGTAAATGATTTTTGGTATCGGCTAGTATATCATATTTGCTTTAGCTTTACAAGTGAATAATGTTTCTAGCATTTCATCAAAGTTAGGTTTATCATCGAATTAAATTCAGACTCAATATAGACACAACCCACGTAAATTAAAATTTTGATTCAATTTAAAATTCAACGATTTAATTTAATATCACAAATTTAATAAACAATATTAGTTAATAAATAATTAAGTAATATCATAAATGTAATATCTTAAATTTTTCATCTTTAGTCAGTTGGACACGAGAAGTTTTCTTTACCGGACAGTTCTCTAAAATTACTCTTCGGGAAACTGATATAAATATAAGTATATATAATGCAATCATTTCTAACTCTCTTCGTTAGTTTGTACATCGACATACAAGTGAATAAAAGCATCGAGGTAGAGATATACGAGACGAAATAATTCACTTTATTGTATACTTTATATATGGAGACTCAGCTGTAAACTTATTGTATATATGTGGAGAGTCAGCAGCGTATTCCAGCTCACCACGAGCTGAAACTTCCTATAATATTTATAATATAATATTGAATTATATGATACAATATTCCTCTCGTATGATATTTGTGAATAATTCGACCATTTGCTTGCTGGCATCGCAGCACATCAGACAGATAGCCGCATGTATAGAATAGAATAGAAGTGTCGGCACTGAAGAAATAGGCCCATGGCAAATGCAGTCGTGTGCCAAATTAAAGAAAATAAGTGTTCCACGCTAAGCATATTTTGAGCGATACTTCTTACATATACTCGATGCATGTAGTCATTGTGATGATTGTTAATAAATTTGCTTAATAACGATGATGGCGTGCTGCAGATTGCCTGCAATATAGAATAGTTTAGTCAGCGCTCGAGATATTTGCCTACTCAGTCTTGGCTATTTTACATCCATTTCGCTAATTGAATATAGCATTTTTGAGCGTGCAAAAAAATGCAAGCTATTTTTGAAGCTTCTACCAAGTGTCTAGAAGATGCTTGGGTGCGAAGCTAATCACTTGGAGTTACTGTAGAAGGATAAGCTCGGATACGATTAATTCTACGATTGCTATATAAGAAGTGCGTTCAATGAGGTAGTTAGTTCAGTGGCCACAGGTTTACTAGCGCTTCAGCACTTAAGCTGTCTCGCACCTAAAGTCAAGTTAAACATCACCAACGAGTTGGAAGGTCTCAGTTATCGAAAGATCATCAAATCAAAAATTGTTCATCACCCACATGGGGCGGAAGGTCTCAATTGTCCAGCCCGCTGAAGCTGGCTTGGAAGAAGCAGCGTTAGCATCTCAAAGAGACGACGTGACAAGGAGGGACATGTGACAAGGAGGGACAAGTGACAAGGAGGGACAGGTGACAAGGAGGGACAGGTGACAAGGAGGGACAGGTGACAAGGAGGGACAGGTGACAAGGAGGGACAGGTGACAAGGAGACAGGTGACAAGGAGGGACAGGTGACAAGAAGTGACAAGGAGGGACAGGTGACAAGGAGGGACAGATGACAAGGAGGGACAGATGACAAGGAGGGACAGGTGACAAGGAGGGACAGGTGGCAAGGAGGGACAAATGACATCACAAAGCACGCAGCGCTTAGCAACTGTGTCGGGGTAACTAATTTGAAAATACTTGTGCCACAGCTGACACTATTTTATTAACATTATTTCGATCTATAAATAAAATTTAGATTACCCATAGATATAAAACCAAAGTTTAGACAACAGAAATAATTATAGAAGCGAATATATGTCTTTGAATTCATGATTATTCTGCGATTCGAACAATAGAGTGACATAATTATTATTTTTTAGTCACTTTGACAATACGAAGATAACATTGACGAAAAAATAAATGCCTTATTGCAGGTCACCATAAGCTGAAATTCACTTTATTTTTCTCTGGGAAAATTTATGAATAATTCCGCCATTAGCTTGCCGGCATCGCAGCACATCCGACTGATGGTTGCATATATCACGCGGTTGTGACAAGAAAATTATTACATATTACAGAGAAAAAAATGCTTCGTGTTCAGCAATTTCCTGCACTGAAACACACACATACATGATGCATGTGCTCGTTGTGATAAAGGTTAATGAATATACCTACAGTCGACAATAGCGGCCGAGGTTTGGCTGCTGTTGTGGAATAGCTTAGTCATAGCTGAAAAACGCGCGTGCTCAGTCATGGCGGGTCGGTCTGCACGCAGCTGCGTCTGATTAATACTTTTCATAATTGATATTTTAAATTTTTTTGATGCTCCTAGCACTTGTCATTGAAAAGATGGGTGCGGGGCGTAGACTCGTAGAAAGTGGAAGTTCTCTTATGTGGGAAGGTGAATTACTTCCCTCGGAATTATGACGAATACAACTAGTCATAGACTCTAATGTATAAAAACACATGAAATCCTATAATAATGACCATTAAATTCTAAAATAGCTTGAAAAAATTATAGTTCTCTTAGTTCACTATAACCTTAGTTATCAAAAATTATTCTAAGAGAGCGTGAAAAATTTAGATTTTTTGCCTGATCCCACACATATATCAGTAATAAATTTAGCGTATAAATGCTCATTAGTATTGATCATTAAATCAAATTTGTTCCATCTAATAAATGAATATTTCTATCATCCTTTCAAAGGTAATTAACTTGATAATTAATGAAAACGTTCCGAATAATGATGCTCAGAAGACTGTGGATACAGTGACTGTGTTACATTATTTAGACTTAATTTGAATTGTGATACACCTTAAATATCAGGATCTTGCTTTCATTATTTAACAAGTTTAATAATTGAATCATTACACTGAAGCAAACTAGGCTGTTTGCTCTAATAATAATAATTAATTGGCGTTTATTAGGCCGTAGGCCTGTCGCCTGTTCTTAACATCACAGAATATTCACAGCTTGTTGTGGTCTCGAACACGCAACTCAGTGTTCTGATACTCTGGACTGTAACCACTGGGCCACCCTGCCCTGATATATCTCATATCATCATAACTAATTAGAAGTTAACATAGTGAGAACACATTTCTGTTTAGACAACATATTAGTAAGTAATGCGAATTTGGCATAATTGAGCTGGACTTCCAAAATGGTTTTTCTTCATAAATAATTAATAATTTTCCGTCCAAAGTAATCTCGCAAGAAACTAATCATCGTTGAAAATGATATACCGTTTGAATTTATCAACATTCTCAACATATTTGGGTTATGTCTATTGAATCTGAATTTGATTCGATGATAAACCTAACTTTGATGAAATGATAGAAACATCGTTCACTTGTGAAGCTAAAACAAATATGATATACTAGTCGATACCAAAAATCATTTACACGCTCAATATAAGTAATATCATTAATTTTTTATTTTAATTTTAAAATTTAATTTCAATTTATAATTTAAAATTAAATTTTTAAATTTAAATTTTAATTCAATTTTAAAATTTATTTTAAAATTCAACGATTTAATTTAATATCATAAATTCAATAAACAATATTACTTAATAAATAATTAAGTACGAATAAATAATTCGTACTTAAAAAAATAATTCACGAATAAATAATTAAGTAATATCATACATGTAGTATCTTAAATTTTTCATCTTAAGTCAGTTGGATACGATAAGTTTTCTTTACCGGACAGTTCTCTAAAATCACACTTGGGGAAACTAATATAAATATAAGTAGATAAAATTTAATCATTTCTAACTCTCGAGTCGTTTGTTTTTACATCGACATCTAAATGAATAAAAGCATCGATGTAGAGATATACGAGACGAAATAATTCACTTT